CTTTTCAAAGAGATAAGCCAACTAGGGGGAGGTGTGGGCAGGGAGGAGAATGTGCAACAATGAATGAATGGAAATCTAAAGTCTCTGTAAATGTTCATAAAATTAAAAAAAAAAGAGCTGATAAGAGCTGTGTTTTAATAACCTAAGCCCTGGAGTCTGCCTGCCCTGGCTCCAGTCTTGCTCTTTTACTTACTCTCTTTGTCACTCTGGTTAAGTAACTCTCTGTGATTTTGTTTCTTCAAGGGTAAATGGCAATAGCAAAATGTTTACATCTATGCTGTGATAATTAAATGGAAACTGCATGTAAAATGCTCAGGGGTGTTCTTTGTAAAGTGGGCCCTAAATAATTTGAGCTATTATTTTTCCAGAATTTACATTTCCAACTATCAGAATGCTTTACACATTGCCATTTTAATCTTTGTGAGGTTGTTCAAATCCACACTGTTTTATGGTGAGACAAGTCAAATACAAATATGCAGGACTGAAGGAGGAGCCTAGCTTTGCCAATGTTGCTGACCTTTATAAACAATTTTTTTATGTTTAAAACCTTTCATTAGCAAAATGAAAAAAAAAATAGTAATTAACAACTGAATGGGATTGCTGTGAGGTTAACAATATAAAAAACTAAAATACCTTTGAAAGTTAGAAAGATAGGGCATATTACTATTAATTCAGTTTTTAAAATCATGAAAGGATTAAAAAGTGAAAAATTTTATATCATTTAAGGAAAAGATAATAACTTAGGTTTTGCTGTAAAGAGCTACCCTAAAAGTAAAAAAGGTCATTTTTTCCCAGAAAGTAGCTAAGAATAGTGCTTAAATTTTTCCCACAAAAGAAAGAACAATTTTCAAGTGGAAAGGAACCATAATTTGAAATGTATCATATGTTTAAATCTGTTAGAGAACACAGGAACTATGTTAAGAAAGCATCTGTGTAATCATATTTTCAAAAAGAAGTAATGTAACAGAATAGAGTCAATGATAAACTATAAAAGAGCTATCTTCTCCAGCACCAAAACTCAAAGACACCAACTCTTCTGTAATTTTGATCAATGCCCAGCTCTCGAAGACCATGGCCTAGATCAGGTGCATGTTAGTCTCTAGACTGACATTCTTTACAGCTCTAGGAAGACCCCTGCAAATTTTCCTAATGCAATTTGTCTTTTGATTTCCGACTGTTAGTGCTAAGAGTGTTGATTGTGGAACAAAGCAAGCTGAAATTGTTAACAACCACAATCTTCGTTCCATCTACCATGATGTTGCCAGTTGGCTTAGTGGTGAAAATCTTTGTTTTCTTGATGTTGAGATTCAATTCACATTGAAGGTGCAGTCCTTGGCCCTGTGCAGCAAATGCTTCAGGCCCTCCTCAGTTTCAGCAAATAAGGTTGTATCATCTGTATAATGCAAATTGTTGATGAGTCTTCCTCCAATCCTGATACCACAATCCTCCTCATAAAGTCCACCTTCTTGAATTATCTGTTCTGCATACAGACTAAAAAGGTATGGAGACAGGACACATCCTTGACACACTCCTTTTTTTGATTTTGAACCATGCAGTGTTTTCCTTGTTCTATTCTGATGACCGCCTCCTGGTCCACGGTCAGATTTTGTATAAGCACAATCAGGTGTTGTGGGATTTCCATTCTTCTAAAGGTTAGCCACATGCTCCACAAAAGAAACATAATCTGCCTCAATAAAGATTTACATCCTTGGATATGCTATGGCAAGTGGTGTGATTTTGGGTTTAGGCATTCTGAGAACATTACCTATTTTAACTGGGTTGTTGTTGTTGTTGTGTTCTTTCAAGTAGGAATTGACCCATAGCTGACCCTCCAGCAGGTTTTCAGAGGCTGTAAAGTGCATGGGAAGAGGACTACCCATCCTTCTTCTGTGAAGCAATGGGTAGACTTGAACTGCAACCTTTAGGATTGCATCACAGTTTCTTACCACCAGGAAAATCTAAAAATTTTTCTATGGCTTTCTTAATTTATGACTCCAACCTCTGTTTTGGCAATGTCTTATCTGCAGACAAAAATAAAATCACAGGTGCGGGACAGTCCTCACCATTATTTTTTGTTACTAATAACAATTTTCATTATGCAATATTGCAAAGTTCAATGAATGAATGACATGGCAAGAATTGTACTGCTGGTATGTGAGCAGCCATGTCTGACGTCCACTAGCTGTACAAGGAGGAAGAGTCCCTAACAGCATCGCAGTACAATATTCAGATATGCTCCTACCCCGTGCTCCTGAACCTTCCTCCAGCACTGCTGACATCAAATGGCCCTCCTGGGGCTCTCAGTGTTCTATGAATTGAAATGGCCACACAGAACTCACAGACAATACTCATGATTACGAGTCTGTGGTGTCAAAGGTTTAGCTTTTAAAATGTCTTTCCTAGCCATTGATTAACCATTTCTTTTGTGCTGAAGTAAAGAATAAATACTTCCATAGATAGAATACTTTAAAAGAATAAATTAAGGATATAGGATTAGGGTAGGATATAAACTTGCCCAACTGGAGGATTATATAAACCCATGAGAGCTGGATGCTAGCTCTATTTTTTTTAAACACTCACATTGCTGCTACACTGCAACTGTTAATCTACAATGCTCATAAGTCTCTGCAGGCCTATGGTCATGTGAGCCATTTCTTTAATAGGTCTGAGTGTCTGTGGGGCTTTCCAGCTAACCACCAAACCCAAAGGAAATAGAGGAATGGGCCAGGTGAATGAAGGAAGCACTGCTGATATCAGAAACCATGGTGTTATACAGAAGGTCAAACATCTGGAACATTATGGACTCTACACTTCTTGTAACTAATTTTAGCAAAATTAGTAATAAATACAATGGGAATTCTTAAGGGCGTAACAGAAAATTTCAGGTAGGAAATAGGATGCAATTCTTCAGTCAGGATAGTGTCTCAGGTGTGCTCACAGACTCTGTGATCTTTAGTACCAAGGCTTGGGGACAGTGATACACAGCTCTCTTAATTCTACCAGCTATGGTCTCTCCTCCCAGCTCTCTGCTCTTGCTCCATGGGGTGGCAATTGCAGTTGAGCTCCTTTTCATATCCGTCTTTGGTGCTACACCACCTTTTCTGCTACTCTTGGTTCATCTTGTCAGGAATTTCAGACTGCTACAGGATACATGCTAGTTGCTGCATCTTGTTTCTTGATGGTTGTGAGATTCCCCTTTTTGGGCTTGAATCTGCTCAGTTTAAGTCTGTCAGGATGGCAAAACTGATCAATGTACTTGTCAATAATTCACACACGTCATTTGAATATTGTCACCTAAGGGAGTTAATGACTCCATTCATATTGTCAGCACAGTCCATATGGTAGAAGTCAAAGGCAATAGGTAGGAATATAATTTTGAACAATCAGTCTATTGTATCACAAAAATAGAAAGAACCCCAAGTTCTCTATTTATATGACAAATTACGTAAAATTAAAAGCGTGAATGTAATATGCAACTCACCATGAAGGAAGGAGAGAAAAAGAAGAAATACAAAATTACAATAAATTGCTATAGAGATATTAATAACAAATATGAATTAGGTTAATTGAACAGAATGAGAAAAGGTAGAAACAAGATTTTCAATAATTACTTTTTCCTATATTTTTCATTTGTGAATCATGAGAATTTATCATTTATTAAACAGTATTATTTATTCATGTGCTTGTGTATATATATATATATATGTTTATTAAGTTCAATATACACTAACTTTAACTTTAAAATTCTTGACTTAAGACTTCAATCTCATATCTTCTTTAATATTTCTCACCTTCCCTAAGTTCAATTATGATCTATAATAGGACACTGGAAGAAGGAAAGGAGCATGGTGAATATCTTCTAATCATGTGTCTCATTATTCCAGTAACATGGTGAGTAGAGGGCAGGTAATTATAGGGGCCAAAGAGTCTTACTAACTCTATGTAGGTGTGCTTTCATATATGACAAATGCCTGAAAGCTGACTTTTGTGAATTGTAGGTTTGTGGATTAAAAAGAAACAACTAGCTATAGCATTAGACTGTCTCTAGCTTTATATGTTGGGGTTGGTTGTTTTTTTTTTAACATTCTGACTGAATTATTACAGTTCTTACCCAGTGCAAGAGAGGATGACCCTGGATAAGATGGATTGACTCAGTGACTGGGGTAATCGGAGCAGATGTGTCAGAGACATTGAAGTTGCCTCAAGATAGAGCAGTGTATAAAGCTGTAGGTGGTTGTGAGTCACAAGGAACTCAACAGTACATAACAACAAAATGACAACCCTTACCTGTATAGTTGGATAATTGTTTGGAGTGGTGGGCTGTCCTTCCATTTGAGATGTATAGCAACACACTGGCCTCTCACCCACTACATACCAGAAGCACATGTTACATACAGTTGTAGCAACTAAAAATGTCTTCTTTTGCCTTGTCACTGGAAGGCAAAATTGCTTGGTGGAGAGGCACAAGATCCATCAAATACCTCCTCCCTTTCCACTGTGCTAACTATAAATCAAGGTTAAATTCGGATGGTGGCCAACGAACCTTTTGGAATGACATTTAGTCAGCCCTGAGTTGAGAGCCTAGACCTGTGATAAGCATATGTGGTTCTGTAACACCAATCTTCTCAGCAGGAACTCTGAAATCTGAGATTTCTCACCTTCCCTAGCTCAGAAAAAAATGGGGGAAAATTCATTTTTCTTACATCAGAGAAAAATAACTATAAACTTAAAACTGTTTTTGAAAAAAAAGAAACCATTTTAAAAAATCTGGTTAAAGACAATAAATGTAGAAGGGAGATATTTTTATATCTATATATCTATCTTATTATATCTCTCACAATCCAGTTAAGTAGCTAATGAAAAAGAATATTTTAAATTGTAATATAATTTTTATTTCATTGTTTACATATGCAGCATTCATATATTAGTTAAAGGAAGTTAGCAAAGATGAAAAATAGAGAGAAGAAGGAAGACAAAATGGATGGGAAGTTAAAACCCACCTTGTTTCATCGATATAAACTGCTTCCAGCACTGATGCTGCATATTCTATATTCTTCTTTAAGTGTGCAACATTAACATCACCTTTTTCCAGCTGCTTCACAAGGCATCGTAGTCTATTTCAAAGAAGAAAGTGAAAAGAGAGAATACAATAGAGACTTAATATAACTGTGTGGAAAATATTCCAATATTAAACATACATGTAAAGTAAATATTTTAACACTAATGTATCTATTCTAAGGCATGAAATATACTTTAATAGATTGGTTTTGATATACTTAAGACAATGTTAAACAACTAAGCAAACACTACAAACGTTATTTCCTCTTAAAAATATTAGAAAGCACTCTGGTAACACAGTCCACAGCCTGTTATGGTGCCACCCAAAGACTATGTATTTTTGGTGGTTGAATTCACCAGCAGCTCTAACGGAGAAAGATGGCAATCTCCTACTCTGTGATTTACACTACAGAAGGGTCGGTCAGCTATGAGCTGGAACCAAGTCTATGGCAACAATTTTGGAGTTTCTTTTAAATAGTATTATGGTGTGAATTGCTAGTTCAGGTACTATATGCCAAAGATAGTCTTGATGAAAATGTAATACACAGATAATACAGACATTTTAATAAAAATACATTTCTAAAATGTATCTCCTGTATATCGGCTTTTTCACAGTTGGCACAGAGGGAATATTTCAATGACAATCTTCAGAATGATTCTGTGTTATTTTTCACTGACAACAGTGATAAAAATATAAAGCAATAGTTTAAAGAAAATATAGAAAGGCAAAAGTATATGTTCTATTTTTTTTTATTGCACTGATTCTTCCCTTGTGAAAATTCTGTGTATTTATTTTTTTTTCTTTTGCCCATAGGATGATGTGTTCCAAACATTGAGGAATTTGAAGCAGAGGGTTCAGAAAAGTCACGCTTGATTCTCAATCCACAGAAACTATGATGTAATTAATGCTATTGTTTTAAGAAAGTAAGGTTTGGGGGAATAGCTATCCAGTAAAAGGGAAGTAATAAAGATTACCTCAGTACATTTATAAAACATTTAGAAATTAATATACAAGGAAAATAGTTTTTATAATGATGCTTCCCTACACAAGGTAGAAATAGAACACCTTTCCATACTTTCTCCATGCTATAAATAAACAACCAGAGGACAATGCATGCACTTTTCTGAATTATCAGAGGGAAATGTATTTCATCCCTGAGCCAAATGGAGAATAGACTGCATCTGCTTTCAGACACTGGCTTAAGGGTTGTTATTGTTGAAATATACCATCGAGTTGTAATCAATTCATAGTTGACCCTCTGGTGGGTTTTCAAAGATAGTCAATTGCAAAGAACAAGGTTGCTCATTCTTTCCCCATGGAGCTGCCAATAGATTTTAACTACATGCCTTTTGGTTGGTAGCATAACTTCTTATCATTAAGCCATTGTTGTTGTATGCTGTTTAGTCAGAACCAAACCATAGTTGAGTTTTCAGAGGCAGTAAATTGCACAAGAGGAGACTGCTCATCCTCCTCTAGAGAAGCAGCTGGTGGATTTGACAATTTGCCTTTGAGATTGCAGCTCAGCTTCTTACCACTCGGCCACGATATCTGCCTGGATTAAGCCATTAGAGCTCCCTGTTTTATAGGTTGTTGCTAGGTACCACCAAGTTGAGTACATTTCATAGTGAACCTACGAACTACAGACCTGAATCTTTTCCTATCCTATGCTATTCTCACCATCTATGACACAGTTGAAACTATTGCCTCAGTAACTGTATCAGCCCATCTCAATGGAAGTCTTCTGCCATTTTTCAATAACCCTCTGCCTTTTCAAGCATGAAATTCCTCCTTTCAAAACAATAGCCTCTTTTATCACATGTCCAGAGTATGAGAGACAAAGCATCACCATCTTTGGCTCCAAGGAGCACTCTGGCTGCACTCTTTCCAAGACATAATTGTTTGTTCTTTTGGCAGTCCATGGAATATTTTTAGTGCTCTTCTTCAATACCACAACTCTAAGGTGTCAATTCTTCTTCTGTCATCTTTATTTGTTGCACAGCTTTCAGATGCATAGCAAGTAATCAGACAACATATAAGACCATAGTCTGAATCAGGCACACTTTAGTCTTCAGACTTACATCATTTCTCCTCAGTGTTTTGAAGAGGTTTCTGACAGCTATCTATCCTAAAGTAATCCATCTCCTGAACTCCTGACTGGTGGTACCAAGGGTGTTGATTGTGAATACAAGCAAGATAAAAGCGTTGACAGTTTCAATCATTTATCCATCTATTATGATTTAGCCTATTGGTTCAGTGGTAAAGACTTACGTTTTGTTGATACTGAAGAATGGCAATTCCAGAATATTTAATTGCGGTGGTTGTTGTTGTTGTTATGTGCCATCAAGTTGCCTGGGACTCATAGCAACCCAAAATACAATAGCTCTGAACCTTGTCCTATCCTGAGCCAGTCTCACTGACTCCAAGACACCTATACCTATTACCCCGCCTAATCATGTCGATTCATCTCATCCAGAGTCTCTCTCTGCTGCACCATCCCTTCACCCCTGTGCTCACAGAAATCTATAGCTAGATGAAGAAGCTTTTATTTGAACCAAAGAATTTTAGAAATAGCAAAGTCAATTATTTTTACAATTATTTTTAGATTATTTCCTATTGCAAATTTTAGGTCATAAATATAGGGCCAGAATTTCCCCGCATTTGATATTCTTCCGCTCATATGACAATTTGATTTCTCCTTGTGACAAAAAACACACATATAAATTTAAACTTTTTAAACCAGGTGGCTCCTTGGAGACAAGGATTCTGAGGCTCTGTCTAACATACTTTGGACATGTTGTAAGGAGAGACTGGTCATTGGAGAAGGATATCATGCTTGGGAGGGTGGAGGGACAGCGCAAGAGGGGAAAGCCCTCTCTGAGGTGGATTGATTCAGTGACTGGGGTAATGCCGATGGGAGTGTCAGAGACAGTGTGAATGGCACAGGACAGAGCTGTTGTACATAGGGTCGCTATGAGTTGCAAGCGACTCGATGCCACATAACAACAGCAACAACACCGAGGAAGCTATAAATGATTATTCTTACTATCATTTACTTTTATATGAGAAAATGCCAGCAGAAACTCTCACAGAATTTCACATATAAGTAAACAAGTCCTATTAATACAAGGTAAAATTGTTGTAGTTGTGTGCTGTTGAGTCAGAATCTACTCACAGCTGATCATTTAACCATGTCTTCAGAGGCTATGAACAGCACAGGAGGAGATTGTCTATTTTTTTCCTGTAGAGCAGTTGGTGGATTCAAACTTTCTGCCTTTGGGTTGGCAGCAAAAAAAGTAAAATAAAACAGCAATTTATATTGCTTATCTAGTGAGATAAATTAAAGCTGGCTTTGTGGTTTATCTGAAACACTTAGTGTGATGAAATGGTGCAAAGGGTATAATGTTTTAAAAATTGTTTTTACAGCTTATGATTTAAGAATATTGTACTTATTCAAATCACATTTTATGTGTGAAAGCAAAAGCTTTATAAGCAGCAGCTTTAAAGTAGATCATACACTATCCTTTTTGAGAAAATTATGTAAGTACAACATGGTTTAATTTGGTTACATAATGTAGTTGAAAAACAAAATACTACGGATTTTTAGATCTTAAGTAGCTTTATGCACAATTTTATATCTTAAACAGTACTTTAGATGGTGCTACCCCTTCGTGAATTGAATATTTACCAATTTTCCTGCTAAATCACTACATTTTACAGTCTCTTTTGAAACTAAGTGCTGTCACATTACTAAATTCTAGTCAGTGTGATCTCTGTTGAAGTGGTTGGATAAGACTTAGGAAAAAAGTTCCTTGAAGAAGATTAAATAAACAGAGTTCTTTTTTTTTTTCCTCCTTTGCTCATTCTTTATCCCCTGGAATGCAGTCAAACATTTATGAAGTCTAGCAACTATCTGGGATTATGATGTAGCAAGCCACACACTGAAATGGCAAAGAAAGATGGAAGTGATCTGTCTGGACCATGTGCTGTGATATTACCTTCCTGAAATTGCCTATAACTCTGAACTTTTTTCAAGTGAGAGAACATAAATTATATTCAGACCGCTATTCTGAGATTTCATTTCTGTGCAGCTGAATGTAGTTTCAATTAACAAATTGAAACAAACGACTCAGGACGGAAGAAAGTGTCATATAAAATGGTGAAGAAAATTCTCTAGGAAACTACCCACAGGTACAGGTTCAGTCTGCAGTAATTCCCAAGGAGATCATCTCAGCAGATCATATCCAATTCAACTAGTGACATCAATGAGATTTAAAAGTACAAGGCTGTCCTTGGATACAGAAGAGATCCTTTCCTAAGTGGGTAAGTTTATTGTAGGTTAATTGTAATATTGCTGTTGTTATATGCTGGTGAGTCACCTTCTACTCATACTGACCCCGTAGCCTGACCTGTCCTGCAACAGTCTCACTGACTCTGGCACACCTAATCTTATTACACCAGTTATTGTATCAATCCATCTCTTCTGGGGTCCTTCTTTGCTGCAAGGTCTCCCTCCACCCTTCCAAGCTTAATGTCCTTCTCCAAGGACCAGTCCTTCCTAGCCACGTGTCCATAGTATGTGAGACCAACCTTCAAAATCCTAGCCTACAAGGAGAAACTTGTTTTCACTCTCTCCAAGACAGATTTGTTTTCTTGGCAGTCCATGGTATGTTGAAGACTTCTCCAGCATCACAACTGAAGGGTATCAATTTTCTTCTGACCTCCTTATTCAATGTCCAGCTCTCTGACACGTGGCAAGTAGCTGTGAAGACCATGGCCTGTATCAAGTGCACCTTAGTCTCTAGACTGACATCATTGCTTCTTAATACTCTAAAGAAGTCCCTGATAGCAGATGTTACCAGTGCAATTCGTCTTTTGGTTTCCTGACTGCTGGTGCCAAGAGTGTTGATTTGTGGAGCCAAGCAAACTGTAATTGTTACCAACTTCAATCTATTCTTCATCTATCATGATGTTGCCAATTGGCCCAGTGGTAAGTATCTTTGTCTTCTTGGTGTTGAGCTTCAATCCATATTCAATCCATATATCCAAGACTGCAGT